AAGTAGTAGTATATTAAATGTATAAAGTAGGTCGACCGATATGAGTTTTTATAAGGCTGGGTTAGAGAGAGGGTTTTTTTTTTTTAGTCTAAAATGTAACGTGACAGGGTCTTTACTGTATTTTTGTCTTTTAACTTGACAGTTGGTTACATAAGAACAGAGACGTTCAGTGGTCTTTATTGGCCAGTTAAAACTGGTTAGCATAGCAGAGGAAGTATAATAGTAGCAATATAAAAGTGAAGTAATTTTAGATAAAAACAACAGTTTTTTAAATTATTTGTTTCCTAACCATGCCTTTCATTCTGCATCAAATCTACAAAAACTGCTGTTTCTACCTTATTTCAAATACTATCATTTACAAAGTAAATTGATTACTTTTAAACTTAGCCTCTAGTTTTTAACTCAGTTTTTACCTCAGTTGTGTTATTTTTTTGTCTAGCGACTGCAGCTTTTATTGCTGAACCCCCTGAAGGAGCTGTCCAATGTGCTGCACGCTGACATTCGGCAGAAACAGCTGGAGTGTGTTCTTCAGATCCTACAGAGCCAAGGAGACGGCCTGGGCCCTGGCTGGCCCCTCGTGTTGGGTGTTATAGGGGCCATCCGCAACGATCAAGGGTAAGAAGAACAGAGAGGAGTTGTTTTCTTCACTTTGAGTCGTTTGATCAATGCTTGAATGCTTTCTGCTTCAATCTGCAAATGTTTGACCCACAATGCATCGTTCTCATCTGTTAGCTACAAAAACTTTGAACAAAAGCTCAAAGAGTTGTGTTTCCTGCTCTGCCTCAGCGAGTCGTTGATCCGAACAGCCTTTCAGTGCCTGCAGTTGGTGGTGACGGACTTCCTTCCCACCATGCCTTGCACGTGCCTCCAGATTGTCGTGGATGTAGCTGGCAGCTTCGGCCTTCAGAACCAGGAGCTCAACATCAGCCTCACGTCCATCGGCTTGCTGGTGAGGCTGCTGCTCGTGTTCTGCACACTGAGTCAGGAGGGGAGCATGGGCTGAAACAAAGAAAGGATCAGGAAATAGACAGAGACACAGCCTACTTGTCTTTTGCAATTGTGTCTTCTAGTTGCTGCATTTCTTATCTTTTTAGAGACTGAATCGGCTAACTGAGACCAGTTAATTAAATGGTTTCAATCTGGATTAATTAGCTTTGAAACTGTACTCTGTTGTATTAAAAATTCAGTTTCAGTTAAATAACTTTTCAAACCAATGCATTTAATTTCAAATTATGCAAATACAGATTGAGTCTAAACAATACAAATTCAGTTTCTGACGGCACAAGTTTCTTCCAGTATTTTTTAATCTGCAGTTTCCTGAATTCTGGGTTGTTGTATTTTTTTTGCCACTTCAGTAGAAAACAAAACTGAATGTTAGTTTCTTAATTTCTGCATCATCAGTGGCTTTTTTATACTATAGTAAAAAATAAAAAGAAAAAGTAGACGAGAAATATATAAGAACAGTAAAGAGAGAAACCGGTACAAATTATACAACGTGTGAAATGAACACCAATAACACACAGGACACCACACCCAACATC